TCTGTGAACACAAATTAGTTAGCATAAATCAGTTAAATGACGAAAAATTAGATGCCTATTTACTTGTGACCATTCAGTGTACAAACCACATACAAAATTACAAGTCATAAGAGCAGAACACAAAATATGGACAAAACCACAAAGGTCTCAATCTCACTGACTGTTTGACATTATTGAACGTTTCTAGCTATGTAACAAACAGATTTATCATAGTTATAAGTGCACCAAATAGAACAATAGCACAGGGGTTACGTGCTAGTGCTAGCGTGTTTCTATACTAAACATCCCCGAAACGGATTCCATTTTTAGAATACATACGTCCGCTCGCTCACTTGATATACTGAGTAAGTGTGGGAGCCAACTGATGAGTTCCGCTGCTATATAAAGAAAACAAAAAAAACCTGTCAAGGTATGCTTAATGGTTTACAAGACTTCAAACCAATTTCCCTGAGTTAACTAATGCTGGAGTTAAAACAGACTGATAATTACATGTAATTAGGCAGAGTTGTAATAATTATCAGTGTATTTACATGTAAACAAACAGGGCCCACAGAAATATTTTCAGGGGAGGAGGACATGTATGTAGGGAATCAGCTTTTACAGTATAAGTCAACAAACTAAAAGAATATGTATTATGTGTACTTAAACGCAAACACCAATTCACAGTTTTCATACAAATTACTAAAGATATTTAGTTTAACTACGATGTTAATTTAACATCATAATACGTGCAATTTTTGTGAAATGTAAGGGGGCAAATGCCCCCTCTTACCCATTCTTGCGGGCGCCCATGAACAAGGACAAAGTCCAGCTTAAACCTGTTTCTTTCATAAATGCCAACCTGCATTACCTACATGAAATTCTAGTTATTGTCTGAAGTAGTTAATTAAATTAATTAACTAACTGATCAACCGGATAAGTGAAGAGCACACACACACAAGCCCCATTGCGAAGTTGTATAAAAGAAGTTTTATTACACCATGCCCATTCCTACTTTGTTTCCTCACTTTCTTGGTGCACCCGTTTCTACACTTTCAATATTTAAAAAAAAAAACAACAACATTTTTTTTCACTTCTACTGGGTATTCTTTTCTGGAAATGTTTACAAACAAAGTTAGTTGTTTGAAAATGAAAAAAAAACAATAAACATATAAAAAGATGTAGGTTTCTTCATTCTCAAAAACCTTATTTAACTGTTTAAGTTTCGGTCTTAGATCTACATAAGACTAAACTAAATGAATGAGCGTTTATGTAAATGAAATATTCAGCATACTGTACCGATATGATCAGAACCTTTCAACACCAAAGAACTATTTGTTCTAATAATGGCTTCAAACTGAAGTCTTTAGCTCGGAGGAATGATTTACGCTTGAAATGGAAGAAACAATTAAATACGTTATATGTTGCACGTTAATAATTCATGAAGAGGTATAGGATAACTAAAACAAGTACAGGCTATAAATTAATGATTCACTTTATCTCTTGACGATGAAAGAAGTAGCTACCTTTCCGAGCACACAAATGATTGTGTTGATATATTATTTGAGGTTTGTAATGACAGTTCCAAAGAAATCCCATATTTTGACAAACAAAAAGATATTGCTTAAAATTTCTCATGGATACATGCTTTGATGCCTGGAAAAAATGATTCGATACTTTCATTAGGAACTGCAACACTACTTCCATTTACACACCATGAGAATTCACCTTACAGTACAGTTTTATATGGATCAGAAGTTTCGTTTCGCACACACACACAAGAAAACATCTACTGACTACCAAATAACACAATATAGATATATTCAGCAGTGAAAACGCTAAATATTTAGCATAAAGCAAAAACAAGCTATATGGTCTGCTAACTTCAGTAACGTAAGAGAAGTAATCTTTCTTTCTATTTCCAAAATACTTTATTCTTAGCCAAAATCGAAAATTCATTAACGAATTTTGATTTAAATGTTTTGATGACCTGTTGAATGATTGAATTGCTAAAACTGACATAAAGTTTTTAACTTAGTTTAAATCAACAGCCTTTTGTTTCCACAGACAAACCACTCTGAGATCATCAGAATGCGAAAACATGGTGTATTCTTGTTGTTATTAGTAGTAGTAATAACGACAACATCGGTACTGTGCATATCCTACACCACAAGGAAGTTAGCTTTTGCAACAAACCAGTTCGGAATGGATATTCTAAGGACCATGGGGCAAGAGACTAATGACACGAACGTGGCGTTCAGTCCACTGAGTATTAGTACGGCTCTCGCTGCTGTGATGATTGGTTCAAGTGGAGACTCCTTACTGACTCTCCGTCACGCCCTCTATCTTTGGGGAATGCACCCTAAACAGATCCATGAAGCTTTTCACGACCTGCTACTTCATCTGTCAGCTAATCTGCAAGCCACAGTGATCGAACAATCGAAGACTCTTTTAAAACAAGAAACTGACAATGAGTTACTGTTTTATAGTTCTATGTATGTTCAGAGGGACTATGGAATCAGTTACCCATTTCAGATGTACCTTCTCAAATTCTTTAATATGACAGTTCATTTGGTGGATTTCCACCGAAACGGAGAAGAGATAAAAAATCACATCAATGCTATAATAGCCAAGAAGACATCTGGTAAAATTTTGGAAATTCTCCCAAACAACCTTGAAATAACAACAAGCATGCTATTCCTAAACGGAGTCTACTTTCAAGGGTTGTTGGACATGGACATGACTGTGATAGAAGACTGTTCTTCAGGAGACGTTCCTCCAGATATGTATTTTAACAACAATGGTTTCAACAACGATCTAGTTCTACTAGAAGCCAGGAAAGTCAGAGTGCGGTACGTCGAAGATAATTATCTCAATTGTAAAGCTGTGGAAGTTCCTTTCAAAGGTAGTTTCTTGTCAATGGTAGTTCTACTTCCTAATGATCCAGAAGGTATGTCGCTATTGGAAACAAGACTCTCCGCTCAACGGCTTAATGATGTCATGTTTAATATGGAAGTCAAGAGAATAAATCTTCAGGTAATGCTGAGCAGGAAACTGAAATTCAATAGTAGACTACTATATTTCTATTTTCTTAGTATTAATAATATTTCAAGCAAATTACTATAAATCAAGTTTTAATTTTAGTAATAACCTTGACACAAATTATTTATGTTTTGAGAAAAGGTTCTAGTTAGTTAACGTACATTTTTATTTTAAATTTATATATATAGAAAGAAAGAAAATGATAAATAGATAGTAATTCTTTGATTCCATGATCATTAGATCTCGACTCTTCTCTTTTTATTTTCTCATCTTAAAATATTTACTGTGTTATATATAATTGCAATATTTGAACGCAATTCCAGTTTACAATTTTTAACTTACATAAAGTGTATTCCCATTAGTCGCTTTTCACTTTTCTTTTCAATACATTTACATCAGTTTTTCTGAGACTAAAAGACGAAGAGGTATACCCGCCTCTCTGGTCATTCTTGACTTTTGCCTAAATCCTGACTATGAGGCTCTGCTTTTTGGATACAACTATTCAATAAACTTATGTCATTATTTAGACATACATTTACTACATACAAGTAACTAGGAAGTACTTTGAAAAGTAAGTGGATTGTCATTAAGTTTTTGTTTGTATATTCATGGATAAAAATGAATTTCTTCTTGTTTAGTTCTCTGAACTTTCAAATGTGTAAATGTATCTTTTGATCTTAGATTCCTCGAATAAGGCTGGAAAATACCTATCAAAACCTGTCACATATCCTTAGGTCCATGGAAATTACTAACATCTTCAATCCGGGTCATGCTAACCTCTCTGGCATGAGCAAGTTTCGTTGGCTACATGTGACGGACATCATTCATAAAACTTACATAGAGATCAAAGAAACTGAATCTGAAGCCGCATTAGCGACATCTGCTGACGAAGATGCATTTAACATGAAACTAAACAAACCTTTTTTGTACTTCATCATGGATAATATCAGTGGTTTATCTATAGTATTGGGCAAATTTTCTAATCACTAGTAAAATAGAACTTCAAATTCGTTTTCACGTGTAACATACTCTAACCCATAGCTGCTTTTACGATGATTAAAAGCTTTTCCTGTGTACTGTATAAATTTGTAAGTGCTTGGTAATATATATATATATATATAATACATATTTATTTGTCAATGAAAAAGATGTACTTCCTCAAGTTATATAATATCCTAGCTCATTTGATGGATTTTCACAACTGAATGAAAAACAGATTATTTAAAGAAAAATATTTAACATGTCAGAACTTTACCACTTAAGTATTTTAAATGTGATAATATCAAATCCGAGTAACGATAGTCTTTCTTAGAATTTTAATCCTCATTAATAACATCTTTGTTTGACTGTTATTAAGCACAAAGCTAGAAAATGTGCTATTCCCCCACAGGTATAGAAACACGATTTTAACGTTATAAGCATTTAGTCTTACCGCTGAGCCACTGGGGGTGGGTGAAATGTAACGAAAACATACATGTGTGAATGATTGGTGATGACTGTATAAAATATAAGGATATTCGATGTATAGTTGTTTAAAGGACCTAGGGAAAATGTATATATGTACACAAAGTTGTACAGCTTCTAATGTAGTAAACCTTAAAATAAGTGAAAATTACAGTTTAATTATTGTATTACTGGTAAAGCTAAAACATGGACATAAGTTTCTGTTGATGTCCACTAAAACTAAATATAATAATTGTGTAAGTGATGCTGATCAGACTTCACATTAATACGAGTAGTGATTTAAAGTATAACTGGATTTCAAATTCAAATATAAAGATGGGTAGGGTGCGTAAAGGAAAGAGAAGGGCTAGTTTGACACACATATATTATAAATACACCCATCATATAATTTAGTGTAGGATCATATCTTTTTTATACAATGTTATAGAATATTAGTACAGGTTTTTGTACTTACTTGCAAGTCCTAGATGAACACGATATGCCCAGTCTTGAACACTCTAACCTTATCGTTAGCACTCTAGCATATTGATTGTATGTGAGAACACAGATGTCAGAAACCATTTATCATTAGCACTCTAGCATGTTAATTGCATGTGAAAACACAGATGTCAGAAATCATTTATCGTTAGCACTCTAACATGTTGATTGCATGTGAAAACACAGATGTCAGAAATCATTTATCGTTAGCATTCTAGCATGTTGATTGCATGTGAAAACACAGATGTCAGAAACTATATATCGTTAGCACTCTAGCATGTTGGTTGTATGTGAAAACACAGATGTCAGAAACTATTTATCGTTAGCACTCTAGAATGTTGATTGTATGTGAAAACACAGATGTCAGATGTTAGCACTCTAGCATGTTGGTTGTATGTGAAAACACAGATGTCAGAAACTATTTATCGTTAGCACTCTAGAATGTTGATTGTATGTGAAAACACAGATGTCAGAAACTATTTTCCTTTTCTGTTAATGACTGATGACACAATATTCTGGAATGAACATAATCCACAGAAAATTTAGTTCTGTGTCAGTTACTGGCTTTTTTTGGTACAGTTCACTCCTTCAATGTTACGTATAGCTGACTAGCTAATGAAAAAGAGTCTATCGAAAGATGGCAAGCTATATTCATTTAAAGTTACTGTGGCGAGTGTTGTTAGATAGTGTTACTTCATAGTGAAACTGTTGTGTCAGTCCCTTCCACTTGTAACTGAATCAGATTTATTTGCATATTGCATTTTAAATCTTCAAACCTTTTCTCAGTCTTATTTGAGAATACCACAATGCAACTAAGTAGCACTAGCAAGTCATCGAAAAGAAAAAGAAAATATGATAGAAAAGCTAGGGATAAAAACTGCCCACTATGCAGAATATATGTAGTAAGACAGTAATAAAACAACGGCAACTGAAAAAGAAAGAATTCATTCAATAACCACAAGTACTTAAACTGACATCCTATCTCCTCTGGTTGTGATAACTTTTAAATTCCAATAAAATCTAACTTTAGTAATGTGATTATGATATTTGGAGAAATGTCTAATGAATCGATTGTTCTTAAAAGATTTTCTACTGTTAGACAATTTCCCAGTTCAAATGGAAGATGCAGATACCCAAACGTTTATCACAGAATATGGATCCTGCAAACTACGGGCCCCATTTCTCCAGAACAATCAAATAATAAGACAGTATTCTGAACATTTCTGCAGCATCACTATCTAAACAGAACTAATTTTATTGTAAACTAATGTAGCTGTTCACTGACTGAAATAAACACTGGAATAGCTTGAGATAGAAGGGACAATATTAAGGGTGTTTCAGTATGCATATAATCTTTGATCAGTGAAGACAATATAAGACAGTAAAAAAGGATGAATCAACGGAGATATGGATGTAAGCAATCTTTTGAAGGTGAGATCTTCAAAGTCTGGTGAAAAATAGTTTTCGTTAGAAAATCCTCAGCTTTCAGAGGGCATTGAGAAAACACTAGTAAAGTGAACAATGATAGTTTATGTCATAGTTGAAGTTATAAGTAAAATTTGATTCTGTGATGAAACGACTCATTGCAGTGTCTGGTGGAACAGTAAAGCACATAAATTCTACTTTTTTTTCAAAACAAACTTTAAAATGCTTGGAAAGTTACGAGTGATATTTATTCCATATCATTTTCGTTGTCGTCATGGATATGAAATAAAAATGTTTGAAAGTTAATAAATTAAATATTTTATTACATTTAAATCACAATTAGATCAAAATAACAGAACCTTGGAAATGAAAGTGTTGAGTGCTTCCTTGTCATCATAAAACCAAAGTGTGGAGCTGTGTTTACATTGAAACTAAAATCCTAAACTTTATTGAGAAAACAATGTACCCCTTTATGAAATGATATTGTCAATGAGATGATAATGCTGTTATCATGAGTGAAGAATACTTCGGAAAAGAAAAGAAGACTGATAATAATAAGCCAAGTGTACGTTGTGCTGTGCAAGACTTTAACCCTAGGGGTGTTGCAAAATAAATCACAATTTTTCCCCGAGAACATAACAAAGTAAAATAGGATTTTAATTCAATCAAAAAAGTAATTCCAAGTATCAATATCCCTTGATTGGGCCACCATTGTTCTCACGCACGAGTTTTAATCGATTTGCAAAAGATTTCAGCAATGCAACAAACATGTCTGTTTTTGTGAGCACATCAATGAGAACACGAATCAAGGTTTCACGTTTGTGTCTCTCGCATTAAGCAAAGTTTCCAACATTTCTTCTGTTCATTATTGAACGAAAGCTCCGACATTTTTGGCGCGATTTAAATCTGGAGAGTTCCCAATTCACATTCCACCACTTTTTCACGGACTTTTTCACTTTTGAGGCATTAATCGGGTTTTTCAAATCTGGCATTGCGATGTGTCGATTGGAAGGCTTGATTTCTCGGAGCATGTCTGCGACTAGTTTCTGAGCCATCCCGAAGGCAGCACATGCGACACGAACCTAAGTTCTAGTGAGCACCATGATTCATAAGTTTCGCAAAAAACGTTTTCTCACGAGTGATGATATTCGCGGTCCTACCAAGTTCGTCATTACTTCGGGGAAAAGAGTGTGATTTATTTTGCAATACCCCTTAGTAGTCAATAATTCTTTTAAAGGCAAAACAAAGGTGATCGCTTTGTTTTACTTTTCTTTAAATGTTATTTGATCAAGCATTATTAATTGGTGATTTATGTTTTCATTATCTATGAACAACTACAAATGAAACTGAAACCTATATAGTGAATTTGTCTCTCAGTCCCTTTATTGGGTGTGAAACTACTCTATGTGAACACTATTAGTTTCTTACCTAGAACATTCCTTTAGAATAAAAAAACATCTGAAGAAACAATTCATATGAAGAAAAAACTGAAGAGATTCAAATTCGTGATCTTATTTGTGATTCTGACAAAATCCTTCATGTGGTGAATGTTTTTTGAGCTTTTGCAATTCAAAAACACGTGAATGCCACACACCATTTTCAAAATGCACCAGACATAGTAACAATATATCATCACCTGTTCAATAGCACCAAGAAGGAAATACGCGGACAATTTTGCCCCCAAATAAGGCCTATCGACGTTTATTAATGTTTATCATGTGAAGTCCTACCACGGAAGACTCTGCCTCTTAACTTTTCTAGGATTTGAAAATCCACCCATGTGTTTGTCATTTATGGTGGTTTATGAAACGAAGGATAGGATTCAGTAGTTAAGTAGTCCCTGGGACTCTGCATTATATCATCATCATCACCTTTACAAGAGTGGTCCCAGCAAGGGCAATTGACTGGGCAATTTTGATTAGGGTCAACTGAACACTAGTGGCAGACGTCCATCTCCTATGCCAGGTTTTGAGCATAGTACCCAGAAAACCCTAGCGTGGCTACATTGTCTGTTAATATCAGTGTTGCATACCTTCTCACAGGACTCCATGATGTGTGATACTGGATACTGAGCTTCTTAACTTTTTAATGAATTACCAAAAATGTAAGAACAAAATTACAATCAAAGAACCGCATACACATGACTCTGTTAATAAATCTTTATCTCTTCATGTTTTTGTATCCCAGTTTCTGACTTTATATGTATTGTAAGAAACATCTTTGATAAAGATGTTTCCCATTTTCACATTAAAGGGTAGAATGACTTTCTGTTCTCTAAATTTGGTTGCCCAAGAAACTAAAATCTGAGGACCTGCTAATCAAAACATCTTGATTATAAGACAGTAAACGTCTTTTGAAGTCGAAGTTAATAGCGGTAGTTTTCCTTTAAACACGTCTACGCATTCGGACGTTTTTGCATATCAGCTAAGTTTGCCTCCATTACTTCCTTACATTTACTTTACTTTGAATAATATATCTTCGGCTCTTTTCAGAGACTGTAATTGACACATTTTAGATCCTTTCTTTTTTAGTACGTGTTTTATTATTCGTTTTTGTGAGTTTCCTTGTTTCTCCTCATAAAACCACTGAATGCTCAT